AAGAGAGAAGACAGACTCCCTACACCCGGCTCTCAAGGGATGCGGATCGGAGGCAATCCATCCATAATTATGCCTTATTGGGGGTGCAATCCTTTTTTTGGAATCCACCCTGCATCCAATAGCAGGCAAAGGGGACTCATCCAGGCTACATAAGATTTAGATGCGGGAGGGAGGCAGCGTCGCTTTCTTGGAGAACGGGGTGCTGGAGCTCAACGTGTGATGGGAGACAGGAGACCCGACGTTTTGCACGGAGTTTGTGCGGTGGGAGGAGGAAGAGATGCCTCGGGAACCTCTCTGTCCCGACGATCGGGTCTCACCAGGGGCCTGATCCACGCAATCCATCCCAAAGCGGAGGCTTGGTGTGTGTGTGGAGAGGCAAAGGATCTGGAAGTGGCCTCTCGACCTCCAGGTTTCAATTGCAGGATCCTTTCAAAAACAAAATTCTGCTCCTTCGCATCGGCGCCTGTCTCTCTTACCGGAGTTCCCGAATTCTGGAAAATTTAAGATCACAAAAGTACCCCTTGTGGTGTAGTCGTGGGCGGAGTGACATGAGAGAGCATGACTTTGGAGAACAGAGTTCAGATCCCTGCTCAGCCCTGGAAGTTCACTGGGGGAGTGGAGCTGATAAAAACCGCTCCTTAAAGATCTCACTTAACCCTGAAAGCCCAGTTAGGATTGCCATAAGTCAGTTTTGACTTGATGGTGCACAACAACAACAAAGCAAAGCAAAAAATGTGCTGCTTATATACCACCCCATAGTGCTTCAAGCACTCTCTGGGCGGTTTACAATTTAATTATGCAGGCTACACAACAACAAGATCACATAAAAAGCTGAAGTTCAGAGATTCTTTCTGAATACATTTTTTAAAATCAGTTCAGCATCTGGTGTCTTTTTGAGGAAAAGGCTGCATTTTCAGTCCGTTGGCCTGAACACTTCTTTATTACTACACTGGGATTTGAACTGCTCACCCATCTAATCTCTTGGAAATAAAAGTTGCCAAGGTTGTTCAAGTCAACCTAAATGTCCCATGCAATCCTGCTGCGCCATGTGGATGCATGCTCTTTCAAGCAAAGCCTGGTCTGGAGAACATAATTATTCTACCAGGAAAATCATTCCATATTTATTCAAGAGAGCACTAGTAAATCACATCAGAGGAAGCTATACAGTATAAAGTTTGATGTCCACTTCCATTGATACTATAGGGTATTACTTCCCCCTTTCTTCCTGTATTTGTGCAGCACAGGGGGCTGGCAAAAGAACTCAGCACTTGAGGAAACCTCTTCAGTGTCTGCCCCAAAGAAATTATGATCTGAATTTCCCATAGTTTCCAACCTTGGGTCCCTGGATGTTCTTGGACTACAACTCCCAGAAGCCTTCATCACTAGCTCTGCTGGCCAGGATTTCTGGGAGTTGTAGTCGAAGAATAACTGGGGACCCAAAGTTGGGAACCACTGAGTAAATCAGCATACTCTGTAGACCTAGTGGAGTGCACCTGACTAGTAAGGTGAGTCTATGGATAGGAGTTAGGAGACGTTTCATGCTGAGATAAAGGGCAAAACCTTTACTGTTCAGAAAGATCCATCCAGGCTTAAAACAAGGTGAGATTTAGACTTGAGTTTAGAAGGGCCTCATGTTGGCCTCCATGTGTTCAGGTGTACTGGAGATCTATAGGAAATTAGATTATTGGAAAAGTTGCCCCAATATTAGCTGATAACTGAAAGGGTATGGATTTTTCCTCGTGGCCATGTTATTTCTTTTTCTTGACCATTTTATTCGTAGACATTTTCTTCAAATGAGGATGGTCCTCCCATGAAGGCTGATTGGTTGCTATTGATTCCTTTGGGCTCAGAGATTTTTTGAGGCATTTCTGGTTATCCCTCTGACAGAAGCTCTGATCTGCCAGTGGGTTTCAGAGATGACCTTGTTAGTTCACTTCAACACTTCCGAGTGCTTCTCCTACTGAGCAGAGTCTGCACCGTTCTTGGATATTCACCTACACCCACGAAGCAGATGGGAACAGACTACAGAGTGTGGGGTAGGAGGGGTTTTGGTTAGACTGATGTTGGGACAATGGTAGTCGCATAGAAGCCTTCCCACTGCCATCAGCCTCTCCAGTACCATTATGTCCTTTTAGTATTATCAGGTGGATGTTTTCTGCCCTTTGAACGTTCATATTCCGGGCAATGTGGTGGTGAGAAAAATGTTGAAGTGCCACTAGCAAAGCTGTTCTCCAACAGTTCCTTTATTTAAGACACAAAGCACTTTGGATCTCAAAGAAGCCCCAGAGCCAAAGGCGCAATCCTACAAAAGCAGGCTGATGATACAGGAGGGCCCCTGTCTCTGCATGGGATTAGCTCCAAGGCATGGATGCTGAGAAATGTGGATGATAGAAAACACTATTTTAATCATAAGCACTATACATAGTATACTCATATTTTCAGACCATGGATGAGTGAATCAGCTGGTGCTGATCTTGTGGATAAGGGAGTCCTATAGTATAGTGTAGAGTGGTGCCCCACATAGCGACGTTAATCCATTCCAGGAAAAACGTCGCTATCCGGAAACATCGCTAAACGGAACGTAAAACCCCATAGGAACTCCGTTTAATGCGTTCCTATGGGGGGAAAACTCACCAGTAAGTGAAGATTCACCATCCGGCTGCCATTTTCGCCGCCTCGGTAAGCGAGGGCAGGGCGCGAAAACGCTGCGGGCGGCCATTTTCTTGATCCAGCGGCCATTTTGGAACCGCCGATCAGCTGTTTCCCTAACATCGCAATGCGAAGATTGGTAAGCGAAACACCGATCATCGCAATGTGATTTTTAGCCTATTAAAACATCGCAATGCGATCGTAAAAACAATCACAAAATCCGCATCACTATGCGGATTCGTCATTAAACGGTGCGCTTGTTAAGCGAGGCACCACTGTATTTCTCTATATGCATACTCAATGAAAATAATCACAGGCGGGGTGAGTCCACCAGCGGAGTTTCGTTGGTTTCTCCAACAGTTTGGTTGTCTTCTCCAGACACTGATACCTTAAACATTGGACTAGTTCCAGTTTGAAGTCTTTGGAAGCAGTAAGAGCCCAAGGTAAAGTCATGTTGAAAAACAAAATGCATTTATTGATTTTATTTATCATTTCCTAAAACCTTGGCAGAACTCATAGCGGTTAAAAGCCATAACGTTGAAAGGTTTACCAAGAGGGACTGTCTTTCTGGCCATACCAGTCTCCGTCCTCTAAAGCCAGGTCTCAGCTCTCTCATCTCCTCCTGCCTTCATAGGGCACCACTGGAGCCGGTGCAGAAATGTCTGAGAGGCCCTTTGTCACTCATCCAGGAGGCATGACAACACAAGCAGGCTTTGAATTCTCTCCTCTTGGCGATCGTCTGGAAAGAATGGCAGTCCAGTTTCATCAGGTAAGGAAGGTATCTTTGCGGGGCGGGGGGGAAGATGCAGGGAGATAGCTTGGCCGCTGGTCTCCATCTCAGCAAATTTATAGCATTTATACTTTCATTTCTGCAGGGTGAGAAGTGAGAGTATGAGGAAATGTCTAGAATTTCACACCCTAAAGGGTGTCGGGGACATGGCTCCTCAGCCATTGCTTTTTTCGTTCATGCTGCGATGTAGCGTGTACATCCCCGTATACGGGGAGTCTGTTTCTGAGCAAATCCCTGTGTTTCATTCTGCAGCGGGTGTCCTTCAAGGAGGTGGCAGTGTACTTCACCAAGAGGGAATGGGACCTCCTGACTCCAGCCCAGAAATCTCTCTATAAGGAAGTCATGCTGGAAAATTACAGGATCGTAGCCTCTCTGGGTAAGGAGGACGTTTTTCCCCAGATTGATTCATGCCAAAGAGTTGCTTTTGTTTTTCTGGATCATTTCCCTTTGCAAGCATTGGGGCCCCGTGAGAACAACCCATCGCTAAGGGCTCTTGGCTTCTGTTAGATGCCAGAGGGCTCTGTCACTGGCGTGGCTGATGGTCCTGTTGAAACCTTAGTTGGTGGGTGGAACCATGGAACGAACGATGCGGTTGACACTGTCTCTCCCGAGTGACCTCTCTTGCTGGGTAGCTGATTCCCCCCTAGTGGAGTAGAAGGCATGAAACAAATGGGAGGTGGGTGTTATAGGAAAGAAAACAGTGCATCCAATTAAACAATAGCGACATTTCCCTTTTTCCTTTGGGCCTAGTGAGAGAGTGCCAGGTAGTGCCTGGGTGGGCATGGTTGGAAGGGCAGGTTGAAGCCATCCAAGACTGCAGGAGAAAAGAAGTGTTCTCAACCAGGTCAGTCCAGATGATTACAAGGTTGAAGCTGGTAGGGTGCAACCTGACAACAGAAAGATAAAACGGATACAGTAGGACCCCCCCCCCGATCAGCAGGGGATCCGTTCCAAGTAGAGATGGGCACGAACCTCAGTTCGTAGGCTCATGCCGGTTCGTATGCAGGGCACCGCAGGTGTCACACATTTCCTTCCCCCACCTCCCTGGAGACGCATCTACTCCTCTTTGGATATTCAACCAGTGCCCTTTGGATGTTCAACTAGTGCCAGCAGGAGCACAGGTTTGCCTGTCCTGCCTCCTTGTCTGAGAGGGTGATCAACCAAAGAAGCGGGGAAGGGAAGCTCATGTTCCTGCCAGAGACTGGTTGAACAAAGAGGGAAAACAGATGAGTGCACGCCGTCTGATGAGTGCAGGATCCAGCCAGGGAGGCAGAGGATGGGAAATCACAGTACCAATGGTGCCAGCACATATGAACTGGCACAAACCTCTGAACCGAGTTTTGTGTTCTTCTCTAGTTTCAAGCTCCCCCCATGGATGCTGAAAAACTCAGATTATAGTGAACATTATTTTCACAGTGAATGCTATACATTGCATGGTCTCTGGCTCCCTCTAGTGGCCAGTTCTGGTAACTTCATATTAGAAATATATACAGTGGTGCCTTGCTTGATGACGATAATTTGTTCTGTTCAAATTGCTGTTAAGTGAAATCCTCGTCAAGCGAAATGAAAAAGCCCATTGAAATGCATTGAAAACCGGTCCAATGCGTTCCAATGGGCAAAATACCTCAGCGTCCAGCAAAGATCCTCCATAGGGCGGTCATTTTCTGGTGCCTGTAATGTGAGGAATCCGTCCTAAAGCACAGCGGGGAACCATTTTGCACAGTGGGCGGCCATTTTAGGGCCGCTGATCAACTGTTTTAAAATCTTCGTCTAGCAAAAAAATGGTTCCCGAAGCAGGGAACTGATCATCGTGAAGCAAATTTTCCCTATTAGAACATCATTTTGCGATCACAAAAGCGATTGCAAAAACCTCGTCAAGCGGTTTTGTCATTTAACGAGGTAATCATTAAGCGAGGCACCACTGTACTCTGAAACTGATAGCAGGCTTTTGCCAAGGGAAAGCCATTGTATCAAACAATGCACAGTTTCAGAGTGCCTATGCTTATCTATGTCTAAAACTGCCTCACTGCCTATAAACAATGCTTTTTCAGATTGCATTCTTGACATGTGCTTTAATCCTTTTCTGACCTTGGCAAGGATTCCTGCTGTTGTCACAACTTTTTTACAGCTTGCATTTGTAATGAACTGCAGGATGTTATATCGAAACAACAGCAAAAACCTTCCACAGACTCCTATCCTTCTACTTTTTCTAATCCTCTTGACAATGATTTCGCTTGCCACTAGGGGGCTACACAAACCTTTTTCCTTTTGATGCTGTTCAGCCACGAGAAAAAGATGCAAACCAACACAGCCTACAGAATACCATGCATTTTCTTGATTTCTCTTCAGTTTCTCCAGCGTATATCCCTTTACAGGTAGTTGTGAAAGAAGAACCATACTCTTTTGCATTTCTCCTTGCTACTCAAAACAAAAAAACAGAGGACTCAAACCCCAAGATATCCCAGATGTAGTGTCAATGGCATTTGTGGCATTCACCCTTATTATGTTAAATAAATCATGCATTATTCATGTTCTATGCTGATGTGGTTGAGAGGTGGGGCCACTAGACATGTTAAAAGGTGGAGCCAGAGAGGAGGAGTTTAGTTTACAGTCTGGATCTGAGTTTGAAGGAAGAGAGAGAGAGATAGTTGGGGGCATCTGAGGTGTGATTAGTCTGAGGAGTGAATAGTAACTCGTAAGATAATATAGAAGATTGTTATTGATGCTTGATGAACCTGAAGAAGATACTTATGAATTATTAAAGAAACGGTTGTTGTGGGTTTTTCAGGCCCTTTGACCGTGTTCTGAAGGTTGTTCTTCCTAACGTTTCGCCAGTCTCTGTGGCGGTGGGAAGGTAACAGCGTTCCGTGTCTAGTTGCGCTGGCCACGTGACCACGGAAGATTGTCTTTGGACAAACGCTGGCTCTACAGCTTGGAAATGGGGATGAGCACTAGAGTCAGAAACGACTGGACAAATTGTCAAGGGGAACCTTTATCTTTACATTACTGTATTGTAGCAAGAGAAATAACTAATTGAGCTTGCTTGCTGCTGAGATCTGTACTCCGTGCCTGAGACTCACCAACATGTTTCTTGTTACTTCCCAAACCAGTTGATGATTGGAAGTGTGAGGACTATCAGAAACCGTCGCTGGTCTCTGTGGAAATTAGAATCCGTGAAGATGCAGAGGGGTTATACAGGAATGAAAAGAAAACTTTTAAATGCATAGAGCGTGGAAAGAGCTTCAGTGAAAGGGGAACCCTTATTAAACATCAAAGAGCCCACACAGGGGAGAAGTCATACGTATGCATGGTGTGTGGGAAGAGCTTCAGACGGAAATGGCATCTTGGAAGACATCAAAATACGCACACAGGTGAGAGACCGTATGAATGTATGGAGTGTAGAAAGAGCTTCAGTCAGAAAGGATACCTGATACAGCATCAAAGAAGCCACACAGGGGAGAAGCCGTACCAATGCATGGAATGTGGGAAGAGCTTCAGCAAAAGCAAAATACTTTCTAAACATCAGAGAACTCACACAGGGGAGAAACCATACAAATGCACGGAGTGTGGAAAAAGCTTTAGTGACAAGGGGAACCTTCAGCAGCATCAAAGGACTCACACAGGGGAGAAGCCCTATCAATGCATCATATGTCGGAGGAGCTTCAGCCAGGGTGGAACGCTGACTAAGCATCAAAGAACTCACACCGGAGAGAAACCTTATAAGTGCAACAAGTGTGGGAAGACCTTCAGAGAAAGTGGAACACTGAGTAAACATCAGAGAATACACAACAGGAGGGAAGCTGCAGAAATGCATGGAGTGTGGAAGGAGCTTCCTTATTAGCTAGAGGCTCACTTTCTGTGTAAGAACTCACGTGGTGGAAAGCCGACTGAATGCATGGATTGCAAAGGAGGTCTCTTACCTTCCAGAGTGGTCTGTTCTGCTGTTGAACAACTCCTACCCTTAGTCATCCTATATTTATGTATCTGGAGTATCCTGTACATGGATATAGGGTGATTGATGGTACGCCATTCAACAGCAGAATCTCTGAAGCTATGGGCTATGCCGCGCAGGGACACCCAAGACGGACAGGTCATAGTGGAGAGTTCTGACAAAACACGATCCACCTGGAGTAGGAATTGGCACTCCTTCATGGATTGCTGCCTTGTTGTGGCGAAGAGGCTTGAGTAATTCAGACCATGGTACTGTATTTTAATGTTGTGAATCTCCAACCCCCCTCAATTGGTTTATTTGTAAGGGAAAAACAAAAATGACACAAGGTTGATAAGTATGCTGTGACTTCTTTTCTGTGGAATTCAGGCCTCCAGATTAAAACCTCCCAGCTGGCAAAACTGAGGCGGGCCGGATGCCGGGCCTAGGGCTATGGTGGGCCGTGGATTCAGAACAGCTGTCATCATAAAGTGGAGTGGGGGGAAAATGTCCTGATCAGGGATTGCAGGAACAGAGTAAATTCGACACAAAACAAAGGCCTTAGTAGAGAATTATTTCTTTGCCCAGAGACATGACCTCTGAAAAAGGACTTCATTTTCACTTATTAGGGAGAAGGATTTTTCAGGCTCTTATAAATGGTTTTCCTAGATTGGCCCTTCTGATAGACAACAGGATAATTTTTCATGCCAGGCTAAGAGCTTTCCTTGTTTAATGGTGTTGTTGTTTATTATATTAGTCTCCACTTAGATAATCTTTGTTTGCTTCTTTGGTTAAATGAAAGGGGGGAAAGGACAGAATAGTGAGAGAGAGAAAAACGAAATATTGTGGCATTTTGAAGATTTATTTTGCTGTGAGTGTTATTATTTATTTGTTTTATTATTTATCCCAACTTTTATTTTATTTCATTATTTACCCCACCTTTCTCCTTAAAAGGACCCTTTACATCTTTAAAAAGGACAATGCTTTAAAGCTAAACATAGTAAGTATACTAATATTAAAAAGGAGTGTCGTATTAAAAATGGTAAGTAAAATCAATACTGGAAACACATTTAAAAATAACAGAGCACAACAATCTCAGACTGCCATTCACTAAGGAAAAGCTTGCCTGAAGAGAGAGGTCTTTACCTGCTTGTGGAAGGACAGCAAAGATGGGGCCAGCCTGGCCTCCAGTGGCAGGGAGTTCCAGAGTCTGGGAGCAGCAACAGAGAAGGCCCTCTCTTGTTTCCCCACCAAGCGCACCTGTAAGGTTCAGTGGTTCAGAATCCAGTTCTTTGCACACAAAGAATAAAGATATGATGCCCTCTGGGAGGACATCTCCATGGTGAGAGTCATGACCAGGTGAGGATACAAACAACAGGCAAAGTAACAATGCTTTGTTTACTACAGTATTTGGGAAAGGGACTGCTAATTGCTTGAGGTCACAGATCCTAGCCATAAGTGATAAATTGTATGCTAGGTAGATTAGGTGATCACAAAAACAGAATCCAGATTCAGCTACCAGTCCACTTGCTTTATTTTATTTTATTTGCACAGACTGGGAGGGGGTGCCCTATCTTCTGCTTTGCCTCCAGCAACAAAACATCATGGCCAGCTTTGTCTACTCCCTGCCAGTTGACTGGCCCATGGATGGAAGGTTTACAGTCCTGGGTGTTGTTAACCTTTCCACTATAGTGGCCTCATGCAGGTGTCTGAACCCTCAAGAATATAGCCCACTATTTGTGGAAGGTAAATGGCTCTGGCACAGCTCAGCGTCTGGAGAACTTTATGGAGTCCTAAGCCATTATGGTGGGTATGAATGAATCATGATATTACCCAATGGCAAAACATTGTGACGTTTTAAAGATTTGTTTAAAGGTTAGTATTTTCAGATCAAAATCCGTGGTTCACTTGCATTACTTTTCAGCAGACCAGAAAATGGGCAAATTATTATGTATTGCTGCTGAATTATTTAAATTGTACCCCTATTCACAAGATCCAGGGTTGTGGACTAACAGTGTACATATAACAGAATACTGTACCATACTCACAAACACCAGTAAAGCAGTAATATCGAAAAGTGCAGAGAGGTTTAAGAAATTTAGTTGTTTGCTCCTATCTACTCCTTTTCCCTTTTCTGTGAAAATTCCTCCTATTTTACAGTAAAGTGAACACTGAACAGGCACATCAGTGCTTGGGCTGAAATCGAACTCAGAACACTTTAGCTGGTTCAGTTACCCTTACTGTAATGTACTTCAAATGTTTGTACAGTATTGTGTGATCTCTGTGGATGGGGCCTGTCTGTGTCAATCCATTCTGCATCCTCCTTGTAAAACTCATTATACCAGGTAGCAGAAATGTATTTGAACCACACCATCTAGGAGCCTCACATCTACTATAAATGCAATTTTAAAAGAAAGACACAGATGCCTTTCCCTTTGAACACTACCTGTTGTAGTAGTGTGCAGTCAAATCCCCTCTGACATACAGTGAAAGAATTACCTCCACAATGCCGTGTCCTGTCAATTTCAATTTATTGTCATTTAACATATATACACCGTATACACATACAATGAAATTCACAAAGAACACTCAGAGACCAGACCAAAACACACACACACCCTCGTAACAATCCCTAAGTCCCAAAAGCCCACCCAAGAGCTCATAGTGTCTACACAACATACAACACAACAGACCAAGTAATAGTTAATACAGTCCAACAACTCACTACTGATGATTCTTAAGTTCCTAATTAAGCGCAATTATAGCTCTAGGATAAAAACTGTTCAAAAAGCATGTTGTCCGAGTTTTAATTACTCTGTATCTTCCTGTCAACTCAAGCCTTCAAGGAAACAGTCCGTCTCATTTTCCCTCTTCCTCTTTTCCTACTGCCTTCAACCTTTCCTGAGATTATTGTTTTTCTCCGAGAATCCTGCCTTTCCGTGATAGCGCCCAAAGTATGACTGCTTCCATTTTCTCATCTTGGCCTCCAGAGATACTGTAGTTCAGGCTTGATTTGCTCTAGGACCCCCTTGTTCATCTTTTTGGCAGTCCGGGGCATTTGCAAAGCTCTCCCCTAACACCATATTTCAAATGAATCATTTCTTTTTCTCCTGTCAGTTTTCTTCGCTGAAATGCCATGTGCTCTAGTCTATAGGGAAGGCAGAACAAAACTAACTTTTGAAAATGTTATTATTGACTGTTACATTTTGATGCTGCAATTGGGGATAGAAGTTTCCCATTGGTGTGTCAATGCTGATCCATTATTACCAAGCTCAAAATCATTATTATTAATATAATAATATAAAAGATCTCCTGTATGGAGAATTAGTGCAGGGAAATTGCCACAGAGAGAGACCACAGCTCCGATACAAGGATATCTCAAGTGGGATCTGAAGGCCTTGGGAATGGACCTCAACAGATGGGAAACTTTGACATCTGAGCGTTCAGCCTGGAGGCAGGCGTTGCATCATGGCCTCTCCCAATTTGCAGAGACCCTTGTCCAGCAGGCTGAGGCCAAGAGGCAGTCCCAAAACCAGCAAAATCAGGGAGCTGGACAGGGGACAGTTTGTATTTGTCCTAAATGTGGAAGGGATGGTCACTCTCGAATTGGCCTCCTCAGCCACACTAGATGTCACACTAGATGCTGTTCCAAGTCCTCCATACAGAGCACGTTACCCTAGTCTCTCGAGACTGAAGGATGCCTAATCTAAATATTAACATAATAACATTAATATTTTTAAGCAGCACATAAAGTCATCCACACTCTTTCCTGCTCACCATGTATGGGTGTGAAAGTCAGATGTAAAGAAAAACAACAACAATGATTCATTTGAAATGTGGTGCTGGAGGAGAACTTTGCAGGACTGCCAGAAAGACAGGCAAGTGGGTCCTAGATGGAATCAAGCCTGAACTGTTTTACTGCACAAAGCAGTTGTTGTGATGTGTCTTCTTGAGGGACAGAAATCAATTTTTATTGTTTGGAGAAACACCCCTGGTTGAGATTAGCTAAATGATGGCAACACATTCTAAATCCCTGGAGTACTCATTCATTGACCAAGATCATCCACACTCTTGTATCTGTGAGCACCGTGTATGGGTGAGAAAGCTGGACAGTTAAGAAAACTGACAGGAAAAAAAAACCTGATGGTGCTAGAAGAGGAGAGCTTTGTGGACACCCTGGATTGCCAGAAACAAGGACCTGTGGTCCCAGAGATAGATCCCTGAACTATCTCTGGAGCCAAAAATGGTGAAATGGAGGCTGTCCTGCTTTGGGCACATCCCAAGGAGGCAGGAGTCTGGGGAAAAGACAATCATGCTGGCAGAGGTTGAAAGCAGCAGGAAACGAGGAAGACGGAACACGAGATGGATCAATTCCCTAAAAGAAGCCACAGGATTTATACAAGAGCTGAGCAGGGCAGGGGAAGGCAGGACCTTTCGGAGAGCGCTCATTCCTAGGGGGGGTCTCCGTGAGTTGACGACACGTCAGAACGACAAGACACCAATGCCGTGGACCGACTAGTCGTGGGAAGACGGTGAAATGGCAATAGCCCTCGCCTTTCGGTCCTCCTAGGGTTGAGCCAAAAGGCGCTCAAACCCATACAGTAGGACCCCCCCCCCGATCAGCAGGGGATCCGTTCCAAGTAGAGATGGGCACGAACCTCACTTCGTAGGCTCATGCTGGTTCGTATGCAGGGCACCGCGGGTGTCACACATTTCCTTCCCCCACCTCCCTGGAGAGTGACCCACTCCCCAGCCGACGCATCTACTCCTCTTTGGATGTTCAACTAGTGCCAGCAGGAGCACAGGTTTGCCTGTCCTGCCTCCTTGTCTGAGAGGGTGATCAACCAAAGAAGCGGGGAAGGGAAGCTCATGTTCCTGCCAGAGACTGGTTGAACAAAGAGGGAAAACAGATGAGTGCACGCCGTCTGGTGAGTGCAGGATTCAGCCGGGGAGGCAGAGGATGGGAAATCACAGTACCAATGGTGCCAACACATATGAACTGGCACAAACCTCTGAACCGAGTTTTGTGTTCTTCTCTAGTTTCAAGCTCCCCCCATGGATGCTGAAAAACTCAGATTATAGTGAACATTATTTTAACAGTGAATGCTATACATTGCATGGTCTCTGGCTCCCTCTAGTGGCCAGTTCTGGTAACTTCATATTAGAAATATATACAGTGGTGCCTTGCTTGATGACGATAATTTGTTCTGTTCAAATTGCTAAGTGAAATCCTCGTCAAGCGAAATGAAAAAGCCCATTGAAATGCATTGAAAACCGGTCCAATGCGTCCATCGAAGATCCTCCAATAGGGCGGCCATTTTCCGGTGCCTGTAATGCGAGGAATCTGCCCTAAAGCACACCGGGGAGCAATTTTGCACAGCGGGCGGCCATTTTGAAACCCGACGATCAGCTGTTTTCGATCGTCAAGCAAAAAATTGGTTCCCGAAGCAGGGAACCGATTGTTGTAAAATGGAAAAACCCCATTGAATCATTGTTTAGCGATCGCAATAGCAATCGCAAAAAACTAATCGTCAAGCGATTTCCTTGTCTAACGAGGTAATTGACAAGCGAGGCACCACTGTATTCTAGCTGCTCTGAAAGCTCCAGTTTGCACATCTTGGCTACTGTGAGGGATAAATATAAATCAAATTAATAACAGATGAACATGCAACGCCTGTTTCTTCTCTTGAAAGAAATAGCCAAACCAGACCTCATTTCCTGGTTGGAAAAAGGAGAAGATCCATTTGTCCAGGATCCCGAGGAAGAAAGGAGATGGGAAGGTACCTGCTCAGGGTTGTGGGCTGGGGTTCTTGAGGGGAATCTATGAATGTCTTGACCTGGGTTCAGTAGGGGATGTTAATTACCCACAGTGTATGCCAAATACACCCACAGATTCCACAGCACAGTCAGTCAGTCGCTCCTCCGGACTGCTTTCCCCCTGTATCACCAGCATCATGTGTCTCCCATTATATTTAGGACACGTTTGGGTCTCTAGTTGTGAAGCCAGAGGTTGGGAGTTCGATTCCCCTCTGTGCCTCCTTGACAGAGGCTGGATCCATAGGATCCTTTCCAGCTCTAGCCCTTCCCTATTAAAGTCTTTTGGTATATCTCAGATCCTTTGGAATGGCTGCTACTGCCTGTTCTCAAACAGAAAGCATTTTAAAAGGGGTACTTCCCTTCTTTTCCATCTTATCTGAGCTGCTGGCCAAGCAGCCACTATGGGTGTTGGTATGATAATTGTTACCAGAAAATACAGAGATGGTTAGTGCACAAATAGTGTTTTTTATTTAAAGGTTAAATCCAGAAAGGTTTGAATGGTAAACAATGAAAAGATAGAGAGCCTTTTCATCTAACCTCCTTCAATTTCTTTGCAAACCTGTTGACTCCCAGCTACCTGACTCACTGTTCGTAGAATCATAGAATCATGGAGTTGGAAGGAGCCTATAAAGCCATTGAGTCCAACCCCCTGCTCAGTGCAGGAACCCAAATCAAAGTGTATCTGACATACAGCTGTCCAGTTTCCCCTTGAATGCCTCAAGTATTGGGAGCGCTCGCCACCTTCCGAGTTTATTGGTTCCATTATTGTACTGCTCTAACAATTAAGAGGTTTTTCCTGATATTCAGCCTAAATCTGGCTCCCTGTCACTTGAGCCCCTCATTACGTGTCCTGCACTATGGGATGACTGAGATCAGATCCTGTCCTTCCTCTGTATAACTGTCTTTCAAGTATTTGAAAAGTGCTGTCCTATTTCAATCATATTTCACCTCACAAGTCTCACTACTTTGTCTCCAAACCTCCCCCCACTCTTATAAATACTCAACCTGCTCTCTTTGGGAAAATCGGTCAACAAAAATAATGTTCTGCAGAGGCATTCTCCTCCCCTTCCCACCAGCCAAGAACGTTTCATATATTCAGATGCAGGTGCAGGTGATACCTTCAATCGACCATTAAGAATATGAAGGTATCACCTGCTCCTGCATTGGCATTGTTTTCACGACCCTGCAGCCCTTTCCTGATTTTTCCTCATTGATCCAGCACTCAACCCATACGTTCCAAAAAGTAAAGGGCCAACTTACTTGGTCACATCAGCCACAAACAGGAATTCAGTACTGTATTTGTTCAACTTTGCTTTTTGCCACTCCCAGATTATCCTATGTAGAGTTGTAGGGAGAAACCTCACTCATCCTTGTAAACCATGTGTCCCAGGATCTGGGACAAACACTAGATGAGAATATTTCCAGCCTCATAGTAAAGTATTAAAAAGGTTGCCTTGGGGGGGACATGAAGATGAAAAGTGAGTGTTTGGTGATACAGTAGAATGCCCGTATCCGTGGGAGGATTGGTTCCAACCCCCCCCCCCAAGTTGGATGGTGAAAAGCACATAGCAAATGCTTATTAGAATAACAAACACCACACATAGCTTGGTCTTTGCCTCACTCTAGTGCCTAGTTCTGGTAACTCCATCGTTAGAAATATGGATTTATGGGATTTTTCTTTTAATATTTTTGGACCGTGTATAAGTGAATCAGCGAATACTGATCCCAAGGATAAGGAGGTCCTACTGTGTTGGGGACGTGGTGGCGCTGTGGGTTAAACCGCAGAAGCCTCTTTGCTGCAAGGTCAGAAGACCTGCAGTCGTAAGATCAAATCCACGTGACAGAGTGAGCGCCCGTCGCTTGTCCCAGCTCCTGCCAACCTAGCAGTTCGAAAGCATGCAAATAAAGTAGATAAATAGGGACCACCTCGGTGGGAAGGTAACAGCATTCCATGTCTAGTTGCACTGGCTACGTGACCACGGAAGATTGTCTTCAGACAAACGCTGGCTCTACGGCTTGGAAACGGGGATGAGCACTAGAGTCAGAAACGACTGGACAGATTGTCAAGGGGAACATTTACCTTTACATTACTGTACTGTAGTGAGAGAAGTAATCAATTGAGCTCGCTTGCTGCTGATATCTGTACCCAGTGCCTGAGACTCACCAACATGTTTCTTGTTACTTCCCAAACCAGGTGATGATTGGAACTCTGAGGACTATCGAAAACCATCGCTGGTCTCTGTGGAAATTAGAAACCATGAAGATGCAGAGGGGTTATACAAGAATGAAAAGAAAACTTTTAAATGCATAGAGCGTGGAAAGACCTTCAATGAAAGGGGGGACCATATTAAACATCAAAGAGCCCACACAGGGGAGAAGTCATATGTATGCATGGTGTGTGGGAAGAGCTTCAGGCGGAAATGGCATCTTGGAAGACATCAAAATACACACACAGGTGAGAGACCCTATGAATGTATGGAGTGTGGAAAGAGCTTCAGTCAGAAAGGATACCTGATACAGCATCAAAGAAGCCACACAGGGGAGAAGCCGTACCAATGCATGGAATGTGGGAAGAGCTTCAGCAAAAGCAAAATACTTTCTAAACATCAGAGAACTCACACAGGGGAGAAACCATACAAATGCACAGAGTGTGGAAAAAGCTTCAGTGACAAGGGGAACCTTCGGCAGCATCAAAGGACTCACACAGGGGAGAAGCCCTATCAATGCATCATATGTCGGAGGAGTTTCAGCCAGGGTGGGACTCTGACTAAGCATCAAAGAACTCACACCGGAGAGAAACCTTATAAGTGCAACAAGTGTGGGAAGACCTTCAGAGAAAGTGGAACACTGAGTAAACATCAGAGAATACACAACAGGAGGGAAGCTGCAGAAATGCATGGAGAGTGGAAGGGGTTTCCGTATTAGCTAGAGCCTCACTTTCTGTGTAAGAACTTAGGTGGTGGAAAGCCCACTGAATGCATGGATTGCAAAGGAGGCCTCTTACCTTCCAGAGTGGTCTGTTCTGCTGTTGAACAACTCTTACCCTCAGTCATCCTAATGTATCTATACATGGATATAGGATGATTGACGGTAAGTCATTCAATAGCAGAATGGACTACCCTGTATATTCTGAGATTAAAAATGTTTTGCCTAAGTGTAGGATTGTGCATTTATTCTTATGAAAATTAATATTTCTTAGGTGCATTCATCTATTCTGCTCCTTCATACAAGTCCTTTCTAAAGCTCATGAGTAACACTGCGCCCAGGGCTGGCTGGATAACTCAGTGGGTTTGTTCTCTGGCTGGGGTGCCAGAGGTTGGGAGTTTGATTCCCCGCTGTGCCTCAGAAGTAGTTGATCGACAATCCAGAACAGAGAGGAGAGGTAAAGGCATTTGATAATGGAACATTTTCCAGTAAATGTATCATTCTTACTCCACACTAGCAAATCCATATGGGCAAAAATATACAATAATAAGAATGGTAATTGGGATGGAGGCTGTAGGATTGTGTATCGCAAGAGTACTGTGAGCCTGAATCCAGTGTAGCCAGGATCCAGTAGGACTAGCGGACCTGAGCGGACGTGCTAAGTTGCCAAGTGCATCTCCTTTTCCCTCCTCACAGAGGTTGCAAGAAATGGACTCCTCTGGAGGAAGGCAGCCTTTTGAGAATCACCTAGCCTCCCCCACCTCCCTGTGGAATGTGCCTTTTCTGCCAGTGCAAAAAGAGAAGAACACAAGAAGCCAGAAGTTTTTTTCATTTTTAAAAATAGTAGCAAGGGCCAAGTTATGCCATTCCCGGATTCTGCTTTCTTGGCAGTTGTGCTAGACATCAGGCAGGACAGTAAACTCTGGGACACAGACCAAGGTATTTATTT